GTTATGAGTAATCAAATAATTAACGAAGAGGCTGAATTGATATCTTCTTTTCAAAACTTTGATATCTTTCGTTTTTCTCTTAAACAATTTACTTTGTTTATCTTCAATGTATTTTTTTTATTTTCACTAATATCATATTCATCTTCCAAATCTTTGTAATCCATATGTTCGGGTTCTGTTTCTCATATACTGTGGAGTATCGAATAGAAAGAATGTTTCTTGTCTTGGTCCAGTTCTTCTTTTCATAAAAAAGGATTAATCATTTTTTCTTCATTTTTTTTGTATTTCCGCTTTTTTTTAGAATTTTCTTTCTTTTTTTTTTAAAAAAAAATCAAATTTTAATATTGAATATTAAGTGACTGAATAAAAAAACAAATAAAAAAATATTTACTCTTTCAAGCCTTCTTTTTAAATCAATAATTTCTTTTTTTAAATTCTCGTTTTCGTCTAATAATTTCTTTTTCGTGATTTTTTCGGCTTCTAAGTTATTGACTAAATCTTGATTTTCAAGCACTAGTCGTTGAGGATCTCGATCTGTTTTTCATTCAAAATTATTTATTTATTCTGAAAGAAATTAAAGCGTTAAACGATAAGCTACCTGCACTTCTTAGTCTCATATGTGAATTACTCATTTTGACTGATGATAAAAATTTGAGTAGTTTATGTTGACATCCAAAAATTATGGGTGTTTACATGTTTAATAGCGCAAAAATTTGGGCGGCTAATTATATATGTTTTCTCAAAATAAGGGGCTGTTTATATGTTTCCCCAAATTTTGGGTGGTGTAACATTCTACAGATCCGATTTTTTTACGTTTTTTTTTATTATACTTCATTTTACTTTATTTTACTTTATTTTACTTTATTTGTACAGTATCTAATAGTAGAGTAATTTTATAATTTACTTCATTTTACTTTATTTTACTTTATTTATACAGTACGTATCTAATATAGAGTAATTTTATATTGATTCGTGTCATACGCACAAGTACATCTATGACTTCCATCAATATGGGGATTGATAGCCTCCTATTATAAGCAGTAGGCTTTTATCGATGACCTCCTATAAATATGGCGTTCTATATTGACCATAAATACAGTATGAGTGGTAAACATTTATCGAAACAGAATTCTGTATGCAGCCCATAACAGAGGCACTGTAATGCGACAAAATAAACGATTAACTGCAACTCTTAATTATTACAATACAGCGTTGCAGTAATTCACACCTTAGATTGCATAATACTCATAATTTATTTTAT